AATTAAAAAATATTCATGTAAAAACTGAGATTATATCTTTTATAAGTAGTTTTAATTTATTAAAATGTTTGCATTAAGTTATATATTTTTATATTTACTTATAAAATTCTCAGAATTAAAATTTAGAAAGATAATTATGACGTCAATGCATTGCTGACAATATTTGATGGAATCGTCCTTGGACCTGAAGATAAATTTACAAGAAAATAAACTTTAGAATTGTATCATTTTCTAAGCATATGCAGATACGCATATACAGTTGATATCTATAAAAATGTTCATGTTATCTAATAGAGCAATCGATAAATTAAATCACCCAAGAATCGTGTTTCTGTTTCGAATTATAAGCACGGAAATTCAATAATCCTATAATTATATATTTAAATACGAACAATATTTTGTTATGTTTCAGTTTAAAAAAGCCAGAGAAAAAAGAAAAAGAATATATAATTTGTCTTTCTTGCCAAAATTACTGAAAGACCCCCATTGAGCGAGGTAACTGTGAACGAACAATCCATCCTTTCATCTAAACGAACGTAATTAGAGAATGTACCGACAATCCACCTGCTACTTCCAAATCAATAACGTCATCAAATTTTTCGCTATTTCGATTCCGAATTTGATTTCAAAAATATTAAAATTAATTCAGTTTTATAATATACTTTTTAGGTGTTTAAATACAATTGATTATATACTCTTCGTTGGATCTAACAATAGCTTTCGTAGTGGAGTACTTACTGTACCTCCTGCCGTTTTTCAAAAGCGGTTGGGACCCCACTCATAATTTAGGGATCAATCAGAATTTTTTTGTATGATTTTAAGATGCTTAAGCTTTATTCTATGTACTAAGGTCTTTCATTTATTTTTTTATTGTGATATTTAAATCCTCTTCGCTACATTTAGGTATTAGTTATGAAGTTAAACCCTGACTTTCTACCTTTTAAACATTTGTCATGTTATATTGACTCTAACATTAATTATTAGGATAACTTAATGTTTAAAATCTTGATATATTGCTATTGTATAATCAATAGTCTACTTAATTTATCTTCTTTTATGTTAGTACTAAAAGTTTTTCTTTTTTTAAATATTTATCACTCTTTATGAATTCTGAATAAGTTTAAATAATTTTTTATCTAATTATAATCAATTAAAAGTCTACAATATTTATTTTAGAAATATTTTATTAAATTATATTAACGTTTTTCTAATTGTTCAAGGCATTCAGCCTCTTTATCTTTATTAATTTAAGTGGAGGATATACTAGGTGAAGGTAACGCAGTACACCATACCTCAGGACTTTGCCAGTTAACTAATAAGCTTACGAAAATATAAATCTGTGAATTCTATAAATAACTTTTGTACAAGGATCCGTGATATTCATGTTGTATTATTAAATTTTAAATAGCTTTTCTTATTCTTTGTATCTGAGAATATTTGACATTAATTTTTAAAAATTCGAGATAATTTAGCATATTTTTATGCTTTTCTAAGAAATAAATGAATTATGCTAATAATGTAAAGATATAAACCCAATAAACAACACAACATGTAATGAACTTCAAAAATTTCTTCATAGCACAGTATATACACATTCTAATAATAAAAAGTCCATCTTACTAAGCGCAACTTAACAAAGTGTATAATGTTACACAGAGGTGCTTTTCAAGTAAGGATTATAATATTCTCTTTAGTATTAAAAATCTCATTTAAGCAATTTGCTAAAGCCGGAATTATATTAAACCATGAAGAGTCTGTGGATTACAGTATTTTCTTTGAAGCCAAAATTACGCAAGTGTAATCATTAGATCAACATCACAACTACGAGATTAACATAATTGGAATATTGTTAAAAAGTAGAAATTGTTTTCTAGATGTTCGACTTACCAGGAATACAACTGCAGCACATACAAGCCTATCGAGTTATGACAATGATTGATTTGGATATTGTTCGAACGTCAACAAGTGAGTAATTGATAACCTTGTCGAAATTCCTTTAACTAAGCTATAATGTTTCTATAACGGACAGACATAAAATAAGCTTATGCACAATTGCATAATACCTGCAATCTAATAATAGAATAGAATTTAACTTTTTAATTTCGCAATCTAGAATAATTAAAATTGCCGGATTCTTTTTATGTAAGAAAATTAAGGATTGTTGGATTAAAAGGATGTGTAAAGGGGATTTCCTATTGGGAGTTAACCTCGTTTAACTGTGTTTAATATCAAAGCAACTTTACATTCTCTTTTATAAGTTTTATATAATTAAATTTATGTCAAAACACTTATATGAATTGATTTATTGAACTACAATTTGAAAAAATTGTAAATCTATAAATGCCCACTGTCGTCCGTCCATCTTCCTTAATCTCGAGAACGGAGTTAGATAGACGAAATCCGAGATCAGATATGGAAATGTTAGGGGCAGGAGGCACCGCAATACAGGAACTTCCGATACAAACTGGAAGTCACGTTATTTCAATTCAAAAATTTTCCTTTGAAAGGTGTTATATGGATGACTGGCACGACTCTATTGTTGAAGGAAAAGTGTGTACAGAGGCAATACACTACAGTACTAATTTGAGGTGGAAAGCATATATTTTAAATTAAATAAATTTAAAATATAATCAAAAGTTGCAGCTTGGCATTGTGACGATGCCACAATAAATAATTTCTCATATTTTTATTAAAATAAGTTACAAATTATAAACAAACGTTCATTAGAAGATAAATTATAAACAATTCTTATGTCCAAAAATGTATTGTTTATTATTTAGTTTAAGTTCATTTATACAATTTACATCCTGGGTTGGATTTACACATAAGCTAAACAAGCTACAGCTTAGGGCCTCAATCTACGACTTAGAACTTCACGTTTTTAAATTTATTATTATTTGATAGAGGAAAGGGCCTTTTATGTGCTATAGCTTGGGGCCTCAACAAGTATAAATCCTGTCTTGGTTACATCAGTATGCTATTATGGTTTATTATTTGCTCTAATTTTCCTTTTATTTAGCACTTTCTGTCTCAAAAAACTTAAAACATTAAATGTTATATAGTGTCACGTGAAAATGTTTATATTTATCGTGTATATAAGTTTAATATAATGTATGACTGTTCATCTGTATGTTTCTTATACACTTCTAAAAGTTTGACCGATTCTGACCAGATTTTTCAGTTACTTCTCTAAAATCCTGCCGAAAATATAGGCTACCACAAAACCTGGACATCCCCTAATTCCATTTCCTTGACACTTTGTAATAATTTAAGTTAAATGCATTATTATATAAGCAAGCATTGCATAATAATTAATGAAGGCGCCACAGGGTCCATGAATCATACTCTTAGTGATAATTTCAACGAATAGAGGGTCTCTGAATTTGGAAGCCCGGTAAAAATAATGCTGTTGATTTGAGTTGGCCAAAAATAATCAAAATTATAATATTGTTTTGATTTTAATGTTTATCCTATTACTTTTCGTCCGGGAAACGCCAGGCATATCGTGTACAACCTATATATAAACTTACAGACACACTAGATAGGCAGCACAGACTAGTTGATAATGTCTTATAGCCTATATTATATACGCTACAATATACATATATATATATATTGTAACGTACTGGAGATAGATTATATATATATAATCTATCTCCAGTACCACAAAATATGGATCTACTTAATTTAAAAATTGAATGTTCATTATCTATTCTACACAGATATTCTAAGTAATAAATGAGTTATTATCGTTCAGCCACTCATAAAGACTCTAAACAGAATATGATGAATTTCAAAAAAACTTTAACTTACGATATTAATTGAATATGGTAAAAAATAATACAATTTTTCTTAAATATTACAAACATAACTTCCGGAAAAGTCTATGTTTAAAGCTCTATTAACTCCGTCCTTCCATCTGGATATGTATGGACCTATAAATAGTGAGATCTGGCACATTTCACTATCGCTCGTCTTTAAGTAGCTCCTTAAGACAAGTTTAAAGGAGAAGGAATAAATAGAGAATTTCCGAATTTGAATCAAACTAAATTATATTGGCTCTTTTGTTATGTGTTGTGTCTGAAACGACGCGATATTGTGTCATTAAGTCAACAAGACAGTCACAAATTAGAAATTAACATGTGTTCCTGTTAAGAATAACAGTGTGAGGGATTGAGATGTTAGAAAAGTAAAATTAGACGTAATTATAACTTTGTAACATGATACTTGTAAGTCTGACTTTGACACAAGTAATCTGTTCACTTTTAGTAACTTTAAGAATTAAATATGCTTCTATGATGGGGAAGAGAAAGTAAATTATATTTAGAATTAGATATTCTAAGAAAGTGGAAAAAATAATTAAAAATTTATCCCGTATACTTAAAAATATAGACAGAATATATTACCATAAACCGTTCGAACTGAGCTGCATGTTATACATTATATAACTATTAACGGATTATTTGTTAATTGTTGAAAATAGGTATTTGTCCAATATTATTGTGTTTATTTTTATCACATTTAAGCAAATTATGTAGGGAGTGTATATATATATATATATATACTCCCTACATAAATACATATATACAGAAAATAATACAGAATATATATATATATATATACAGAAAATAAGGCACTGTCAACTGATTTAGTAGCCTAACAATATAAAGCTTGTAACGTTTTGTAAAGAATAAACAAAGTCAAACAAAAAACAAAGAAGTATTTGTTTAGGTGTTTACGAAATAAACAGGAAAGTTTTGTTTTGTAAAACAAGAGAACTTTTTTCTTCATTTTAACAGCATTTTTATCATGTTAATAGCAGGTAAAGTTTCCCCGTATTCATAAGTGCCAATTTAGTTTCCTTTTCTGTAATTCGATCTCTTTTTCCTTCTCTTGCAGGGAAACATATACAAAAAGATCCCAGCAACGTCACAATACAGTCGTCCAATCAGAAATACAGAAACTCGACGTGTATGTTTCGACTACCCCCCGTTTTGCGAGGAATAAACGCGCCACCTCTAAATATCCAGTTGTGAATTTTGGCAGGACCCGTCATAAGTATCTAAGCCGTGCTTTAGTCAAGAGTACTTTCAGCCGCTGTGTGTGTCACATTTTTTTTTTCTGTTGCATTAGTTGGATACTTATCTGCGACCATGGAAGCCATCAAAAAAAAGATGCAATCTATGAAGCTCGAGAAGGAAAATGCCGTAGATAGGGCGGATGCTATAGAATTACAAGCTAGGGATGCCCAGCTTAGAGCCGAAAAAGTAAGCTTTTAGCTGATAATAAATCATTATATACATCTTAAGGGATATATATTTACCAATTTTTTGAAACTGTTTCTACTCGTTTTTCTTGTAAGGCCGAAGAAGAAGTTCGTGCTCTGCAGAAAAAGATACAACAAATCGAAAATGAACTGGATCAGGCACAAGAACAATTGGTTCAGGCTAATAACAAACTGGAAGAAAAAGACAAGGCTCTTCAAGGGGTAAGTAAATTACGATTACGCATATAAATTTAAGAAATTATTAAAAACAAATGAAATATTTTAAGCACTATATGCGACTATATAAAGTCATTCAAAACGTCGTGACGTCACAATGATAAAAAGTGCGTTTCAAACATGAGCTCTGATTTAGGTGACGTCAGAAATTTCTATTTAAAAAAAATAACAATAATGTACTGTATAATAATAGGTTTTCATTTGTATATTGAAATAAATTCTGGTAAAATATAAATTTCGTTAATTTTCCTGATACAATTAGTTTTTTTTTTTAGTAAAATATTCGAATATTTTACTGAAACGTAATTTATGGCAGTTACACTATTAAAAAATCGTAAAGAAATTTCATTTTTTTTTTTTTTTTGTAAATGCGATATCGAAAATCTTATCAAAATATGAATTTTCGAAACATTATATTTAAAAAAATTTAGTTTTTACAATGATATAACCAGTTCCTTAATTGGTAATTTAAACAATAGTAAAACCATCGTAATTTTTTCTTCTTGTGGATTAAAAAAAAACTGAAAAAATACAGCTTTCGGAACTAATTAAATAATTCAATTTAGAAAATACAGAAAATTTTATAATTAACACGAAAAACAAGCAAAATACATTCTTCCCTAAGTGTTAAAGAAGACGAGAAAAAGAAAGAAAAAGAAAAAAGAACCTGTTACGTGCAGTTGAGCATCACACACACACACACACACACACACACAACAGACACGCTTTGAATGAACTTTACAACTGATAAAAGAATAATGGAACGCATCCAAGAGACACAAGAGGATGAATGAATGCATTAAAAGCTATTGTTAAAATCGATGCAAATGTTGAAAATCTGTAAAATTTACTAAAAGTAGGAGTAAAAAACAAAATGGATGAATGTAATACGATCACTGCAACCACTCAGCCACGTACCTACTTTCACTCCGCCATGTGACGTCATCACACCATATATGGTTGTATGGACCGTAGTCTGGAATGTCAAGACTTTGCTCGATGTTACTATCACCCCCTCCTCTCATAATTTAGACTTCGCGTGGATTTTTCCTTTTTATTTGGGTTAAAAATGTCGGCGATTTTCTCTAGTTACAAGTTGCTAAATTAGGAAAATACCATTGAAAAAAATCTGCAATATTTTAAGGTTATTTTATGTGATGGTGACAGAGTCGATTAAGTAATAATATTGTATAGACCGATATGGTTATGACACAGTTTTTAGTTAATAGTTTTATTCTGTTGCGTAAAACTGTGCGTTTTATGACGTTGAATGAATGTCTTATACGCGTTCGATAAAATTTTTCTTTGTCATTTAAAAAAAAAAAAAAATTACTTAACACGGCATGTCAAGTTTCATTTTATGATAAAACGCGTGTTTAAAATGTACGTAAAATCGTCGCCGGAAAATTAAAATTTTAAAATTATAAAAAATTTAATTTCTTTATACATAAAAATCAATCTATCATTCAAAATTTTGAATTTTTATAGTTCTTTTCTACGTCATGGAGGGGCGCACGGAACGCATACGTCATCAAAAAAAAAAGTTAATATTTATCGATGCGTCTTAATATTGGAATGCAAAATTTTTTCTGATTAATTATTATCACTTAATATTCAAAATTTAAAAAAGAAATATAATTTTCGCGCTTAACAAACGGGGAGGTAAAACACTTGGTGGCATTGTTTCAGGTGTGGCCAGGTAGACAACAACTTCCGTTTCGGTCACGTGACCAGCAACCCCGCCCATTAGATTTCTTTCACTAATATAGCACCAAATAGAAATTTATTGGAAGAAAAATAAAGAAAATCAAATCGTCGTTATAAGTTTTTAAAATATCCTCGATTGGTTGGCCATTGTTAATGTAAAAGTTAAAAAAGCCTAAGGTCTATATAGAGCGCGCATTGATTTAGCCGGCAGAGATACGAAGCGGCCATTGGCTACTATTATATTCATCCGCCTGACCGATGTGCTTGTGGACGAAGTATTGAAAATTTTTGCTCCTTTTTTACCGATCGCATTAAAAGGGTGAAAATGACGACGTTACAGCAAGGAACTTTGCTGGAAGTTCTTAAAAAGAAGATGAGAGGAATGAAAGAAGAATTAGAATTGGCCAAAGAAGCGGCTGATGATTCGCAAAGTCGTCTACAAGAAGAGGTCAGAAGACGAGAAGAAGTGAGTGATTATTAAACGTTAAATTTACCGTTAATAACCCGAAAGTAGCCTAAAAATTGCGAGAAATACTTAAAAGAAAATACATTAAATACCACACACGCAAAAAAATGAGACTCCATTAACAAAAGATTATGTATACAAAGCTAGCTGCTTATCACGTGTAAAAAAAATCAATCAATTTCGTTCGATATAAAATCTTTACTGCTTATCTACATAGATCAGAAACTGTAAATGGCACTCCCAGTCAAGTGCACTTGTTTCACATCTAAACCACTTGCTCTGAAAAATGGCCTTTATAGCAGCCATATCTATTAAATATAATGACTTGTCTTTACAAACAAAAAAATTAACTTTATATAAATGAAAAAGAAAAATGCATATTTTAGTTTGTCCTTTATTTCAATATATCATTAAAAGTTTATAGAGTATATTTGAAGTTTGGTGTGTAATCAGTATATTGACATTTTATTTAATAGCTTGATACTATAAAATTACACTTTTATCTAATTTTACAGAGTTTTCTTTTTAATAAATTTCTAACAGGAAGTTCTTTCTGTCTGTGCGTGTATGTATGTATATACACAATTTTTTAAGTAAGCTTTTTTTCTATTTGCAACTTATATTTACAATTTATATAAATGAATTGTGAATCGATTATTTTTTCTCCTTTTCTATGGATTTTTTTCTGGTGATAAAACTGATAACTTTTTCAGTAAAGAAATTGGAAATAAATTAATATAGGTTATGAATAATTAAAATATATATTACTCTAAATTACATTTTTTATTAGTTTAGACAACTTTGATGATTAAAGGGAATTATTCTGAACTTAAAAAGAATTTTAAAAATATAAAGTTTATGTAAAAACTTTTTAGTAACTATTCAGAGGTGCTATGAAAACAAAGGAGGTTTTAATCAAGGCATGATAAATGATTTTGATACTTTCTAACTAGAAATAATCATCACAGTATAGTTATTTTGATTCTTAGTATTTCTTCTTAACCTGGTTAGATGAAGGTTTTGTTCGGGCACTTTGTCTCTTTCGTACCGTGTCATTGGCATTATGCCAGTATCATCTGGTTTTTAGTGAAATCCAGATCATCAGAACAAGTAATACAATATAAGCATTTACACATATATCTTGACATAAAAATAATTGATGAAAAGACAACTAAAATGTTAAAAAGATGTAAAAAAGTCACAAACTTTAAATAAAATCTTATAAATAAAATGTGTTTGTAAGAGGATCTTACACATTTTCTTTTTTAACAGTTGTTTTTTTAATGAAATTAATTTATATAATATATGAATGTTATGAGTATTGAAGTTTTAATAGTATGAGAATGCAGGCAAAATCAAATAGTTTTAGTTTTCTATTCATTTTATTGCACCTTAAAAATTAATTTAAAATCTTATATTTGTTTTAATCTGCAAATTGATATTTATTTATAATAGAAAAAGTTTACATTCATTGATTTAAATAATGAATTAAATCCAATATACAAGTTAATTTATATTTTGAATATTTGACATGTTTCTGTGAGGCTATCTTGTAAAGAAGTATAATTTTCATATTATGTTACATATGTATCATAAAAAGACAAATAATAAATCATGTAATCAATCATTTGTATTTTAAACATTTTCAACTTTGCCATCAATAGATTTCCTCTTCTTAGTGCTAAAATAGAGCATTGATACACAATTTTAGAATTTAGCATAAAGTATGAAATTTTAAATTGATATTTAGATATTAAATTTTATATGATATGAGAAAAATTGAAATCATTACTCTTTGAGCATTAATGCATTTTTAATGTAAGAAAATATTATAATACTGTACATATATTAAATTTTGATAATGTAAAATTTGTATAATATGCAAATTTGGTTTTGTTAAATTATAAAACTATAAACATATAATGATGAATTTTATGTCTTGGAATTCTGTTTACAGATGGTATAATCACAATAGATAAAGCAGAAAGAATGGTAGCTTATAAGATGATAATTATATAACACAATGGTATAAATTTTTCTTGAACATTAGAATGAGTCTGTAAAAAGACATTTTTTTTACTTTCTTATGAGGAAATACAAAAATTGTATATCTCATTGTTATGGATTAATGCCCTCTCTATGAAATTGTAGTAATACAGCAATGTGTTATTTCTCAGTGAATTTTTCTGGCATTATATTTATTCTTGCTTTTTAAGCTAGAATCTTACAAAATAGTCTGTTAAAATTAATCACTTTTATTTTACATTTCAAAAATGACAGTTTTAGAGAGTGAAAAAATAACTTATGATTAAAAATGTTACTAATGACTACCTTATTCTCATTACTGGTATATAAAATAAATATTTTATAGTATATTTACAGAATAGTTCAAAAGTCAGTTAATTGAGCTTTTGTTCATTTAGTAAGCTTACAAGTGAGTTTATAAACACTTATAAGTTTAAAATTGTAAACTTAGATTGTAAATTTAGTTTACAATTATAGAACTGGCTTTTCATTTATAAAATACTAGCTGCAAGATCCCGCTTCGCTGGGTTTTTATTTGTATGTAATATAGTTTTTTTTATATATATAAAAGACTGTTTTTCTAAGTAATCTAGAATCTAGCTGCAAGGACCCGCTTCGCTGGGCAAAAAGTAACGATAGTGAAGATTAAGATAATTACATTATAGCTAATCTTACCCGTTTTCACAGAATGCAAGAATTAGGTCCCCCGTTTCCAGACTAATTAGAGAATTTTTACGTTTAGTCAAACGAACAAATTTCAACGTTTCTGGAACGTTTTCAATCGTTC